GTGTTCTGCATGTTTGATGAAAGGTAGAGTGTGATTAGAGTTATCAGTGTTCTGCGTGTTTTATGTAAGGTAGAGTGTGATTAGAGTTATCAGTGTTCTGCGTGTTGTAAGTAAGGTAGAGTGTGATTAGAGTTATCAATGTTCTGCATGTTTTATGTAAGGTAAAGTGTGATTAGATTTATCAGTGTTCTGCGTGTTTTATGTAAGGTAGAGTGTGTTTATAGTTATCAATGTTCTGCGTGTTTTATGTTCGGTAGAGAGTGATTAAAGTTATTAATGTTCTGCGTGTTTTATGTAAGGTAGAGTGTGATTAGAGTTATCAATGTTCCGCGTGTTTTATGTAAAGTAGAGTGTGATTATAGTTATCAATGTTCTGCGTGTTTTATGTTCGGTAGAGTGTGATTAAAGTTATTAATGTTCTGCGTGTTTAATGTAAGGTAGAGTGTGATTAGAGTTATCAGTGTTCTGCGTGTTGTATGTAAGGTAGAGTGTGATTAGAGTTATCAATGTTCTGCGTGTTTTATGTAAGGTAGAGTGTGATTAGAGTTATCAATGTTCTGCGTGTTTTATGTAAGGTAGAGTGTGATTAGAGTTATCAATGTTCTGCGTGTTTTATGTAAGGTAGAGTGTGATTAGAGTTATCAATGTTCTGCGTGTTTTATGTAAGGTAGAGTGTGATTAGAGTTATCAATGTTCTGCGTGTTTTATGTAAGGTAGAGTGTGATTAGAGTTATCAATGTTCTGCGTGTTTTATGTAAGGTAGAGTGTGATTAGAGTTATCAATGTTCTGCGTGTTTTATGTAAGGTAGAGTGTGATTAGAGTTATCAATGTTCTGCGTGTTTTATGTAAGGTAGAGTGTGATTAGAGTTATCAATGTTCTGCGTGTTTTATGTAAGGTAGAGTGTGATTAGAGTTATCAATGTTCTGCGTGTTTTATGTAAGGTAGAGTGTGATTAGAGTTATCAATGTTCTGCGTGTTTTATGTAAGGTAGAGTGTGATTAGAGTTATCAATGTTCTGCGTGTTTTATGTAAGGTAGAGTGTGATTAGAGTTATCAATGTTCTGCGTGTTTTATGTAAGGTAGAGTGTGATTAGAGTTATCAATGTTCTGCGTGTTTTATGTAAGGTAGAGTGTGATTAGAGTTATCAATGTTCTGCGTGTTTTATGTAAGGTAGAGTGTGATTAGAGTTATCAATGTTCTGCGTGTTTTATGTAAGGTAGAGTGTGATTAGAGTTATCAATGTTCTGCGTGTTTTATGTAAGGTAGAGTGTGATTAGAGTTATCAATGTTCTGCGTGTTTTATGTAAGGTAGAGTGTGATTAGAGTTATCAATGTTCTGCGTGTTTTATGTAAGGTAGAGTGTGATTAGAGTTATCAATGTTCTGCGTGTTTTATGTAAGGTAGAGTGTGATTAGAGTTATCAATGTTCTGCGTGTTTTATGTAAGGTAGAGTGTGATTAGAGTTATCAATGTTCTGCGTGTTTTATGTAAGGTAGAGTGTGATTAGAGTTATCAATGTTCTGCGTGTTTTATGTAAGGTAGAGTGTGATTAGAGTTATCAATGTTCTGCGTGTTTTATGTAAGGTAGAGTGTGATTAGAGTTATCAATGTTCTGCGTGTTTTATGTAAGGTAGAGTGTGATTAGAGTTATCAATGTTCTGCGTGTTTTATGTAAGGTAGAGTGTGATTAGAGTTATCAATGTTCTGCGTGTTTTATGTAAGGTAGAGTGTGATTAGAGTTATCAATGTTCTGCGTGTTTTATGTAAGGTAGAGTGTGATTAGAGTTATCAATGTTCTGCGTGTTTGATGTACGGTAGAGTGTGATTAGAGTTATCAGTGTTCTGCGTGTTTGATGTAAGGTAGAGTGTGATTAGAGTTATTAATATCCTGCGTGTTTGATTTGTTAAAGCTTATAATTTTGCTGTAATAGAGCAGAATTCGGCGCGTGAATTTTCAAACTAGGGTTGTATTAATAGCATTAAAGTAGATAGTGTTTCGACTTAAAACAGATACAAATGTTGGGTCCAAACTAAGTCTTAAACTTTTATTAATATTCTATCATTAACACTTAATCTAGTTTGCAGGACTCGCTGGATTTGTTTCTTCTGTTTCTTTGAATTTAGTAAGCAAATCATCAACAAATCTTTTAGATTTTTGATGTCACTTATTTTCAAACATCGTTACTCGTTATGCATATGAATCGTCACAACCAAATGTGCGCTTTTTCATGAGGACATTACAGTTATGGAGTCTATTATTGCTTGTCATATTATATCTTTTCTCGGGTCGATGAATCCAGGTACTGACCGAAGTCAAAGGCTACAATTGTTTTATTATTTTCAAAACAGTTATGTTAGCAATCTGAAAAAAACACAGCAAAAAGCTACGGAAGCGGGACGATAAGTTCGTTTGGAGACACGTCATTATTCTATTTTTAGAAACACCCAGTCCTTCAACAAATATCACGCGCTCCAAGTCAATATCGGTTTTTATCGGTGGACACGTGATTCACTTCTGGCCAATCACTTGTCGGGAATAATATGAAAAAATAATAAACGGTATTGCTGACGTTAAGCGGAACCCCATCTTCTGATACTATCGCGTGTATACATGTATAGCATGCTTACCGGTTCATATTAGTTACCACTGTATTGTACTGTATAGTGTTTAGTTCATTCCGAAATACTGTATCTATTACCAAATTTAAAAGGTGCAATCTATGTTCAATTCATTTTTCAAGATGCAAGGTGGTAGCATATTCTGATGGATTATTTTAGTCCCCGAGGATAACCTTAACCTTGAAAGTTCACGGTTCTAATAATACAGGCATTACTCTTTTATTGTTCTCTTTTTTTCTTTTTTTCATTCATATATAATTAAGGGTTTTTTCGTCCTTTCCTTTTGTTTCAATTATTTTGAGATACATAATGCCGTTTCAAATATCGAAACATATATGAATTTGTCGTAAGTCATCAGATGAAGTATTTAACATAGCATCCTTTATCACATTTTTTAATTTGCTATATAACTCACCGCTTGCAAGATGAACGTAGAACGCATACTTGTTAGCACCTATAAAATTTGATGAATGATTCAGTAGGCAAAAATTATTCAATTTAATTATGGATTGAAATAGATGATACATTGTAGTCCTTATATTTGAAAACAAATTATTTTAACCGTATTACTAGTAGGTTTCTCTTGTGTCATGCATAATTTTGAATGAACAATGCATGAAATCGATGAATTTACGTAATTTTATTAACGTTAAAAATACCAAATGATTTTAACCGTATAAGATGGTTTCTTCTGTGTCATTGACTTTTTTAAAACAAACTTTGAAGCGAAATGGTGGAACAACCATGTTCTGCGAGAAAAAGGTCGCGTCTTCTATGGTTCCTTTCTTCGTTTTGGTGACAACCGCCAATCGAAAAACACTTTGGGAATTTCCGTCATCGTTTGAATCTAATTTCACATCATAATTAGTTTCCTAGTATGACGGAGGGACCTGATTTTTTTCCGAATGGATTTTATTCATATGCGATAGTTCATGCTGCTATTGAGTGAATGTGGCAAAATATTCGGATGGATTCAAATCGAATTTCAAACCAATAATACGATGGTTTTTGCATTGATTGTGCTTCACATAAAAGGCGACCGTTTCCCGCAGGCATGCTCAATCACTGATTATTTTATATGAAACATTCACACATTATTTCTTGGTTCATTGTTATGATCATTCAAGTTCATACAATGTACCTCCATAACTTAAGCGTGCTTTTTACAATTCCGTCAAACACACTGGCTTCGAGCTTTTGTCTTTCGATGGAACGCATGCATTTAAGTATATAGTCTTACTGTACTTTCCATAGATGGCATTGAGACAACGCAGTAACGGAACTTAATTTCAATCTTTAACGCTAGGTTGAGGTGGTGATCCTTATGACTTCACGAACATAGTCATATTGAAGTTATTTTTCTGTAGATCTCAGAGGCGTTTACAAGACAATTATTTCCAAGAGGAGGAGAACGGTGTTGACGACAAGATAGATGAAGACAGTGAAACGGATGTTGAAGAGGTGAATCAAGAGCGGAAACCATTTCTTAGTCGTTCAAAAAGTACGCCATAAAATATGTTTTCATATACGCGTTCTTGGAAGACGGTGCTAGATGACATTTGTCTGTTTTTGGTCTGGCATCTAAAGCAAAGTTGGAATCGGAATTAATTCTCGAGGTTTGATTTTATGAAACAGCGGTAGAGTAGAACAAACATAAAAATCAAATGTAATGCTTTGAATTATGATTCTTAAAAACAGACAGTTTGACACTGAACTGAAATATAAAAATATTCAATAATGGACAGAGAAAAAAAACTAGCATTTTCAAGGCATTTTTTTACTTTCGTGAAAAGAATGAAAGATCGTTATAGTTCAGACGCCCGGGAGATGCATATTCCCACCACTTTGTATGGCATTAAATGCTAAGCATTAACATTGGTACGGGGGCATTTCTTCCTCTGTGACAGTATGTATATTGATTTAGCCTTCTAATGGGATAAACAAACTAAAGGAAGTCCAGTAATACGTACTTAACTCCCTGTGTACCATGATACAATATCAAAACTGCTGTTTAGAGTACTTATTCAAGGAAATTGATGGCTCCTTGGCTGATCGTCATCTTCTTTTAAGCATCAGCGCGTGTGCCATGGTGCTAGTGTCGAGTGTAGAATTTGTTAATGACTATGCAAGGACCAGTGCGTGGATTGGACTGTTACAGTTTCTTAATATTCATCTTCAACCTAGTATCAACACGTGTTGTTCTGTTGTTCTGTGAGGGCGCATTCGTCTTCATTCAAAATCGATTGGTATATGTGCATCATTTAGGTTGATAGGTCAGTGAGGACACCTTCATCTTTATTCAAGAATCGTGGATCATTTACAATCCAGTATCGGTCGGTACATCATATACGTAGTTAGTTCAGAGGGGGTACCTTCATTTTTAATCCAACATCGGTTTAAATATGTTTAAATGTGTTCGGCCCATTTTGAGCCAAGTTGCCTTCTATTACATGATTGAAAAAGTCTAGTTTTAATATCAAAATATGATTTGTTTAATTGTTGATGAATAACTTAGGATTATAAAAATAAAATACAATGATTGTTTTTTTCTTTTAATATTGTATAAATTTATAATATCTAAATAATGTCACTGAATAAGAACCTTTTGACTGTATATACGGCAGTAAACAAGCCCTCACATAAGTGATGATACAATCCTTTTTTTGCCCAGTGTTAAAGAGATATGGCGGGTTGCTATGCCTATTTACCCAAGGCTATGTTACGCTAGTGCGCGCATCCAACCGTGCACTGTTATGGTGCGTCCTCAGGTATTTTTATACAGGTAGCAATATCGGAATCCGTGTCTAAGAATAGATAATTGTAAACAGACCACATATTTGGTATTTCGGCATTATTTGTTAATGATTAAGCACTTGACATAATTACTATTGCCAGTTGGAGGGTAAAACAATTCATAAATTTCATCCAAAACAGTCTCACCTACAAAGCGTAGCTGTACTGTACACGTGTACAGGGATTTGTTGACATGCTTCGATAAAAGTATGTCGCACTAAATAATAAAGAAATTATTACTAACAAAACTGATAAATCAATAGGTATGTTATTAAAATGAAAACAAAATGTTCCATTATTTAAAAAAACAAACACTATTGCCTTATTAAGGAAAATGATCACATGCCTAAATATTTAAAAAAAAAAAAAAAAAAAATGAAGGAGGATTCGAACCTGCACCGTTTTTTTCTAGTCGCAAGTAAACTGCGTTACACATTCGACTGCATAGAACATATAGATATTTGCAATTACAAACTTATTTAACCCGAGAAACACCGGTCGCAAAAGAAACTTGATCACCCATGTTTTTCATTATTTTGAGCACTTTCCCAAAGGCGGACCACTTTTCCGTCACACGATTTGTTTTTGCAAATTACATCAAGGTCACAAAAAGTTTATTCAAAAGTTGGTCCTCGGATGGGAAAGTGCTGAAAGTATTTTTCAAGTCCGGGAAACCCCATCACTTTCATAGATATAGTGTATATGGCTATATTTGCAGTATCATATTAGCAATACCTAATTTCTCAGCAGTTTCAAAATTCATATTCAATTGGTTTTGTATCCTTTGTATGCATTTTTGCTACCCGAAATCTTTTATTATATACGGCAAGGGTGGATATAATATTAAAATAACACACATACCTCAAACAGTTCGTTTAATTCATGTTGTATGAAATCGATGCTTAACAAAATTTCACTCGAGTGTTTACGAATGGCGAATAGACGGTACGAGTTATCGGCCTTGAAATTGTATGACACCCGGTGAGGGCACTGCGAAATCGGTAACATATTTTCCCGCCACTGGGAGTCGGCGGTCCCTTTACTTTAGGTCTCTGGTGGATCTGAACTTTATAAAATATTGTAAAAGTACAAACTTAAGCGGTATGTTTAATTTTTGCTTTTGTCACACTTAAAACCTTGCGCTAATTTATTATTGCGCAAATTAACGTTTTTTGTAATTAGTTGTCTATTGCATATTGCTTTTTCATTGTTCTAAACATATTTTATTGTAATTTCTATGCAATGGGAGTTGGGCATACGTTTAACAACTTATATTAAGCCCTTTCCCTACAATATATCATTACAAATTTTCAAGATGACATTGCATATACTGTAAGCGCGCCAATTCATCAATGCTATGAGCTCTTAGCTAACATTGTATAATACGCTAAACTTTGATTCCGCTAAATTAAGTACTCGTACAGTATGTTTTGTACATAATAATGTTTGTTTGTGATATGTTTATCTCTAAAAGAGTTAGAGTTATTGTTTTACGTTTATATATTTCACAATGGAAAAAACGACATCCAAGCGATGGCGAGAAAGAGTTTGCGGATTGGAGTATTCAATGGTGTGTCATGTCACTATAGAAAGATACTGTGAAAGTTGATATTCTGGCGTATAGAAATTTTCGCTCATTGACTTTTTAAACTAAACGCTGTTTGGAAATGCCCGTGTTGGTAATAGCTCTTGAGTCCATAAGTGTGTACATAGTTATCGTTAAATAATTAGTTACGTTATTTATTTATATGTTTTTCAATAGAAGAGCGAGGCAGTTTTTCGTATATTTTTCTTCTTTACCGTGCAAACTTGGTCCAAGACTCCAATTGTGTAAATTGTGGCTACCATTGCGAAGATGCCTATCACTTCTTCTCTGAATGTCAACATTATACCAATGCCCGTACTGTACTTTTTGATCATATAAATCCTTTAAATGTACATTTAACGTTAAGATTATTACTGTTTGGAAATGATAATCTGGCTTTGGATTCAAATTGTGATGTATTTAAACAAGTAAGTGCAAACTTGTATTAGATCCAGTGGGAGATTTTACCATGTTTCGATTATGAACTTGACGTTAAAATATGTATTTTTTTGTATGTGTATGTGTTTCTTTAAAAATCGCTTCATACTACTATGAATTGCAATTGACAATCTATATCATCATCTGTTGTTATGAATTATTGTTGTAAGGAGATGACTTCATAAGTTGTAATAACTTGTGCCTATTATCCAATTCTGGTTAATAATATTTTGTTTAAAGTTGAAAGTCTTATATTTTCCTGTTGTTCCTTGCATCAGTTTTCCAAATTATGCCGCGTGTACATGTAAGTAATAAAAACGCAACATCTAGTTCTACATTTAAGTTAACAGATTCCGAAACTGTGTACTACTGCCAGAAACTGTAACTAAGAATTGGAATCTGTTTTCCCGACATGACTTTCGCTTTAATACATAATAAAACATTTCTGAAGGAAAACAAACCTTGCGGGACTTAAAAATGATAATGATGAAATAAAATATAATCAACAGCAGTGTTCTTAGTGAAAAAAAACCAACAACCGCGGGGCTAGATCCGGGTTCGAACCCTGTTTACTTCGGACTGCTATATCATCGCTCTAACCGATCGAGCTACCTGGTAGACGGAAATTTGCTTCGTTTATATCGAAACGGAGGTTTTAAGGGAGATTACTGCATATTAGAACAACCACAATACAGTGAAGCAAGGATCCTTAAACGAGAAAAGTATCCAACTGAATTCTGTGAACTATCCGATAGGTTTAATCTAACCTTAAGACCAGAAAGGCCAGCCACAATATACTCTAGTGATTTTGTCTTTTGAACAATGAGCTTCTTGTCGTATATCCAAACTATTAACAATACTAAATTTGTAAGTTTTATACAACAGACTGTTGTCCTTTATAAGCGAAACTTATTTATATATATATATGTATTATCAAATAATCTCGGTTTCCAATGCACTGAGGGACACAAATAGAGCCGACGATAGAGATACATGTATGTTATAAAATACTGCCCCTCGTAATGTTGTCAGTGACGGCTTAAGGATCCTTGTCCCACTGTGGTCATATATGTAAATATAATAACCTCCACCTAATTTCGTTTTGGATGTAAATATAGCACAGTTGGCCAAGGACACTTCCATTGACAAGGTAGCTCAAACGGTTAGAACGATAGTAAACAAATCTGAAGTCCATGGTTCGAATCCCGGTCTAGCCCCGTTATTTAGTTTTTCACTCAGAACACTGTTGCTAATATTCTGTAAATTGAATCTTTATTAGTTTTCAAAAAGGTCCACAAGGTGTGATTTTCTATACCAGTGGGATCTATAAACGGTGGTTTTATTTCAAATATTCACAATTCACGTTTTCCTTAAACGGCGTTTTCCAAGAATATGTTAATGTTGGTTTACTTAAATGGATTATTTCACAATTCTAAATTGCTTTTTTGGCTGTCCAATTAAGCGATTCCTCAGCGCGGTTTCCGTTGTTCGCACGGAGTCATGATTTCCTACCAAACTCTACCAGTGTAGTCAGGAGAAAAATACTGCTTTTGGTAGAGAGCATTTTGACGTGTTAATTGAAATGACGTCATAAAGTAAGTATTAACCTGCTGTTTCTTAAAATAGTAAGACCGAGTCAGTATCAAACATCACTGACCACCACGTGATCATGATCCAACCAATGAGGATGTTGGAGAAAAAGTGCGTCATCTACTATCATCAGTTATTATTCACAGGATGCATTGGATAGATTTTCAATGATACTGTTTAGGTTACAGTTCACGTGCCTGTTGGGCAATAGCAGCACCACACTCGAAATGTTCATGGCGTCACTATAAATAGAACAAATGATACAAAACAAGAGGCCCAGAAGGCCTGTATCGCTCACCTGGATATCTCAGCAATCATGGCAAAATATTCTCCAAATGAGATCTAAGGGAAAAGGCCAGACTCCCAAAGCCAATCCTTGTAGCATATCTGTTTCCAAGCTATGACTCGGAAACTAGGTCCCTTAGTTTGTGGTCAGACTCCAGGATCAATTATAATATCATGACTGCATTCGTCTCTTTATGCACAGCATTTGTATATGTAGTGTTGGGGTGGGGATCCCAACCGTTTCAAAGTCATGACCAAGGGGCTAAGTCTGCAAGGGTGGGGCAGACCTTGGGGTCAATTCTAATATCATGACTGCATTCGTCTCTTTATGCCCAACAATTGTGTAAATGGTTATAGGGTGGGGATTTTAACTGTTTCCAAGTTGTAACTGAGAAACTATAGGGGTTCGGTCAGTCCCCAGGGTCTATTCTAATATCATGACTGCATTCGTCTCTTCATGTCCAGCTTTTGTATATATAGTTTTCGGGTGGGGATCTCAACCGTTTCAGAGTTATGACCCATGGCATAGTTCTACAGAATTAGTCGTTTAAAGCAATATAGCCAAATTGCCCCATTTGGCCACGCCCCTCAGCCCCTGGGGGGTCAGCTCCACCATTTGTACAATTTGAATTCCAACCACCTAGGGATGTTTCCAGTCAAATATGGTTTATATCCATCTCTTGATTCCAGAGAAGAAGTCGCTTAAAACAATATAGCCAAGTAACCCTTTTTGGTCCCACCCTCATACCCCTTAGGGGTCAGCCCCACCATTTGTACAATTTTGAATTCCCGCCTCCCATGAATGCTTCCGACCAAATATGATTGATATCCATGGCAAAGTTCTACAGAAGAAGTCGTTTATAACAATATAGCAAAATCGACCCCTTTTGGCCCCGCCCCTCCATTTGTACAGTTTTGAATCCCTACCACCTAGGGATGCTTCCAGTCAAATTTAGTTAAATTCCAATCAGTGGTTAAGAATAAGAAGTCGTTCGAAGAAATTGTTGACCTACGAACGACGGACGGACGGACG